TGATAACTCTACCGTATATATATATATATAAACTGAGTACAAAAGTTACTGTTCCCGAGCTTATGTAGTGTTGCCATCATCTGATTTTTTTTTTTTTTTTTTTTTTTGGCACTTTTCTTTCCTAAGAAATTGGCAAAGTATTAGGTCAAAATTTACAAAACCTCCGTTGATCTTAATAAGACAAAAATATATATTTCTTGATCAACAATCGCCAAAAAAGTATAATAAATTCAAAAGACTTTAATAATCAAAAAATTTTTGAAATAAAATGTCAATTATCCATATTCTACATTAACTAATATCATCTATTTGTCTGGGGTTGACTTTGGTGGATAACAATATCTTGAAGCCAATTCAACTCTTTCTAGCCATAGAATATTTATATTAGTACTTGTTACGCAGACACAAATATCGAAGCATATTAACAACTTCCAATATTAAATTTTGGACCCAATTTCAACAAATTTAGAGTCAAAATGAACATCTCAATAATAATAAAAACATTAAAATTGGTCTAATCTAAGCCTAAATGGGTTTAAATCAAGGGTTTAAAATATATTTGGAAGCTCCAAAATATTAATTAGATGACCAATTGATATTAAAATATGACATGCTTGTAGTCAAATAGAGCAGCTTAAAGAGAAAATCCAACGAGCATAAGATCATATAATTCAAACATCATTAAGGCCCTTAAAGGTTGAATAAATATTCCATGACAGAGAGAATCAATACGGGACATCCGATGAAGCACTCCAAATTTGTTTTAGTTCTTCTTTATATTTAAAGAGCATGCCACTGCTAAATTCAATAAATAAACTCCATTTTCACGTGAAAGTGGGCTTGGACTTTTGGAAGCTTAGACTATGAACTAGAAACTCAAGATAGCTCTGAGACTTGAAGCATACTAGAGCTCCGCCCCAGCACCACCGCCTACAAGCCTTCGCCATCAGGCCTCTACTGATGGACCTCTTTCAGAACATCACTATCGAATCTCCATCCGGCAGCCATTTCCAGGCCTTTGTCCGGCTACCGTCTCCCACCGACTAAGTTCCCTCTAACCATCGTAGTCGCCTCCGACCACCATCACATGTCGACTATGATCTCTCCAAACATCGTTGCCCACAAATTATGGTACCTCCGACCACCATTGCCAACCAACTACAGTCCCTTCGACCTCCATCACTCAACGATTATGGTCCCTCCGACCACCATCGCCCACTGACTATGATCCCTTTGGCATTTGTCACCCTCACAATCTCTCCAACCAACGTCGCATGCCGACTACGATCCCTCAAACCACCATCGTCCGTTGACTACATTCGACTTCCATCATCCGCCAACTATGGTCCCTCCAACCACCATCATCGGTCGAATACAATCCCTCTGGCCTTTGTATCCCATCGATTACACTCTATATGATCACCGTCGCCCATCAATTATGGTCCCTTCGACCTCCATAGCCGCAGACTACAATCCATCTGACCTCCGTCGCCCATCGACTATGGTCCCTCTGACCTCTATTGCCTATCAAATATGGTTCCTCTGACTCCATCGCACACCGACTACAATCTGTTTGACCTTTTTCGTCTGTCTGTTATGGTCCCTCCAACCTTTGTTGCCTACTAACTATGATCCCTCTAACGACCGTTGCCCGTCAATTATGCTCCATGTGACCTTCTTTGCCCGCCAAATACAGTTCCTCTAACCACTGATACCTATCTATTATGATCCATGCAACCTCCATCGCCCACCGATAACAACCCCTCGGACCACCGTCACCTGCCACTACGATCCCTTCGACCTTCGTCGCCTTCCGACTACAATCCCTCCGACCATCATCTTCCATAAATTACAATCTATGTAACCTCCATTGTCTACCGACTATGGTCCCTCTAATCTCTATTTTCTACCAACTACGGTCCCTCCAACCAACGTCGCCCGCCGACCATGATCCCTCCAACAACAATCATCCGCAGACTACGGTCCCTCTGACCAACATCACCTGCTGACTATAGTCCCTCCAACCTCTATCACCCGACAACCATCCCCTCTACCTTAGTTGCCCAACTACAGCCCCTTTGACCTCCTTTTCTCGACTATAATCCTACTGACCAAATGAATATGCCAACATTCTTTTGAGAATAACTCTCATATTACTGAATTCTTCCAACTCCTATAATATAATATGTTTTATATGATGTATATTTGCTACATTGAGCCAATGTCTTCCCTCGAGGAAGGGCATCATTTGTAATCTGAATATAAACATTAGTATAATCATTTTAACTACTCCAAGCCCCGTGGTCTTCCCCCTTTTTTTAGGATTTTTCACATAAAAGTTTTTTGTGTCTATTATGACACTTGCACCCATCTCTCTTATATGTCTATGTGTCGGATCCTCGTATAAAACTGGGACATAAAACACTCCATCTCTTTATCACCGCAAATGTTCCAACACCCAACAATACTTTAAAAGAAATGGCAACAAAAGGTTCTTACATAAATAAAAATAATAACAATTTGGTGGTTTGCTAGAAAAAGATAGTATTGAAAATAAAAACACTGTTGTTTTCCTTTTATTTTTCCTTCTAAAATAGTATTGAAAATAAAAATGGCAACAAAAGTTTCTTACATAGATAACTTAAGGGATTACCTTAAATGAATCTACGATAGTAGTAAGTACCCTACACATCTTTTTGGTGATCACAAGGAAGAATCAGCATTCATCCAATGGGCGAATTATTACGTCTGTTCACTGGACGTTCGGACACCCAATTCAGACGCGCCACGTCACCCGAATACACTGGGTCCCGGTGTATTTTGGTGACGTGGCACGTCTGGATTGGTGTCCGGACGAATCCGGACACCGAACGTAATAATTTGCCCATCCAATAACACTTGGACGACCAAAGAGGATTTAAAAAAGCTTGCTTGTGGCTTTATAGCTCTTCGAGGTTAAATGGAGCTGATGCAGCATCAACACCATAGAAACATCTAGTTCATACCTTATCCAGCACTAGGCCAGTATCATTTAAGATTTCCTTGCATATTTACCTTCTAAAGTTTTTTAGATAATTGAGCCCTCTTTAGAGCAATATGGAGAGATGAGATTTTCTTAAAATTTTCTTGTATAATTCTTCTTATATGTATGAAACATTGGATAACTCATAGTTTGGTTAAGATTTACTTTAACTATAAGCATTAATTGGATATCAATGGTGGCAATATTCCCTTAAAATTATAGTCTAGATAGAATATCCAGTCACCCGGGCAATGACGATCGGGTGATGGTGTTCAAGTAATAGCAATTGGACTTTGATGTTTGAACAACAATAATCAAACTACAACTGTCAGATTATGAAAAATGGATTATAATAGCTAAACGAAAATGATTACATGGCTGTAGTTAGACAATGATGATGGTCGAAAAACAATAGTCATCATCGGCTTCAAATGCCAGGTAGAGCTCTGAAGTTCTCAAATCTACATGTCCTATTTAATATCGAGTCCATATCTCTTTCATTTGAATAACAAGGTCTATTTATAGTATTATAAGAGTGATATTTTGATAAATTCAGTCAAAATTTTGTAACACTCCATCGAATGACCAGTATTGAATCCTTTGATCACAAGTCATTTATTCAACATTTAACCATCTTAAAGATCTCATAATTAAATGATATTCTAATCGTTCGATTTGTCTCGTCAAACTACTCAAATTGACTATAAGCTTGCAAAATTTCAGAAGTAATTGGTTCTTTAATTACAATTTTGAAGTTCTTAAATATGATTCAATTTCATTTGGACTCATATATGACCACTTTAATGTCATTGGATTAGTTTTGCCAATGCAATTAGTTTGACTATACATTTATTTAAATCAAAGTTAGGATGTTTCTATGATTATTAGTTCAAGAAGTTTTTAATATAAAATAATACATCAATATTTGTGAAAATCAAATAAATTTTTTTGAGATATATCAATTGATAATTTCTGTCTCAAATGAAATTGACAAAAATAATAAGAAAATTTTATGAAAAGGGCTTCTCCTTATTTCAAAAGAAAATTCATTGTCTTTTATTTAAAAAAAAAAAATCGTCACGTTTTTTCATTGGTTGAGTTAGCATTCATTTTGATAAAGCTATATAAATTATTTTAAGGGATTTTTACATGCATACCACTTTATTTGTTTCATATTACATATTTAACACCTAATTTTTAAATATTACACATTAAAAGTTATTTGATTTGCTGAAAAAGAAATATGAGAGGAAAAAAAATATTGTGTAAAAAGAAAAGCAATATTCAGGAGTTTATAAATTAATAATGAGGCAAATTAAATTTATAGTATAATAAATTAAAATATTAATTCATTATTATTTAGTATTTTTGTACTGATGCCGAATGCAGTTTACTATCCGGAGACCAATCAGAATGCGTCACGTCAGAAGTTACGGGCACGGTACCGAGCGACGGTAATGAGCAGGGTGACATGACACATTTTGATTGGTCTCTGGACGACGTTCGACATATGCACAGAATAATTTGCCCCCCTTTTTCTCTCTTTCTCTCTCTCTCCTATCTCTCCCGGACAGAATAAGCTAAACTATTTAGCGAAAAATTTTAATTTCTACTAAAAATGTCAAAACGTTGAAGTTTTCTTCATAAATATAGCCTACATCACACAACTCCCCTTGGCCTATTGGTTGAGAGCTTAGGCTTTCAACTAAGAGGTCCAAGGTTCGAGTCCATGTGTATGCGTTGTGTGTGTGAATTTGCCTTAATGATTGATCTTTGGACGGCGTTCGGCACTTGCACATAATAATTTGCCCCCCTTTTTCTCTATTTCTCTCTCTCTCCTATCTCTCCCGGACAGAATAAGCTAAAATATTTAGCGTAAATTTTAATTTCTACTAAAAATGTCAAAACGTTGAAGTTTTTTTTCATAAATATAACCTACATCAAATAATTTGACAAATTTGCTCCATTCTAAATGATCTCACAAACTAGCTTATTCTCATAATTTCCGCTTCCCTTAGGCTCTTTCTTAAAAAAAACACTCCTGAAGCGGGGAACTCGCGAAGTAGCTCGCCGGAGAAGCATTGATGGTGCCGGTGGCGTATGCAGAAAAGGAGGAGTTCGCGGGATACATCTGGAATTTAAGGTAAAACGGGTAATAACGATATTTAAGAATCTGTAGTATTTAAAGTTGTCATTTTTAAGCCGTTACTTCAAAATTTAAATCTCCCTTTCTCTCCCACTCCAAACCCACAAAGAAAAGGTAAAGCCCACCTCTTCCCTCTCCGTTCCTGAAATAGATGATTAACTCGCTCCGGACCACTGCATCTAACCCTCTCACTCTCCTGGAATCAACCTCTACCCTCAAAGAACTGCACCAAATACATGCTCAGCTTATTGTCAGCGGCCACCTCCGCCACCCTCGTCTCCTCGCGAAATTCGTCTCTCTGCTCGCCCTCTCTCAGAACACTCCTCACCATCTCCCATATTCCCGCAAAATCCTCAACCACTCTCCTTCTTCACCCACCACCTTTGCCCTCAATAACTTAATCCGTGCCCACTCCAAACCCCCCTTCAACCCTCTCCAAGCCTTCAACTTTTACAGCCAAATCCTTCACTCCCCTTCCCTCTCTCCCGACAACTTCACCTTCACATTTTTAGTCCGCGCCTCCGCCCATCTCACCTCTGCCGCCATTGGCGCAGCATCGCATGCTGCTGCGCTCAAGCGCGGCCACGCTGACGACCCCCACGTTCAGAGTAGCCTCATCCACATGTACTCCAGCTTCCGTTCCAGTACTGCATGTCACCGCCTATTTGAAGGAATCCAGGACCCTGATGTTGTCATGCAAACTGCTATGATCGGTGCCTATGCGGCCTCTGGCGACATTGATGTTGCTCGTAAAGTGTTCGGCGAAATGCCTCACAGAGATGCTATCGCCTGGAATGCAATGATCGCAGGGTACTCACATGTAGGTCGTTGTAGAGAGGCGTTGGAGTTGTTTTCGGCAATGCAGGGAGAGAGTGTGAGTGTGAGTGAGGCCACCATGGTTTCAGTCCTCACTGCTTGTGCCCAGCTGGGAGCGTTGGATCAGGGGAGATGGGCGCATGCTTACATTCAGAAGAAGAGGATTCAATTGACTGTAACACTTGGAACTTCGCTTATAGATATGTATTCCAAATGCGGCAGTGTGGATAGAGCTATGGAAGTGTTTAAGGCGATGCCAGAGAAGAATGTGTACACTTGGAGTAGCGCAATGAGTGGTCTTGCCATGAATGGAGCAGGCAAGCAGTGCATTGAGGTTTTTGAGCTCATGGAGAAAGAAGAGTTAGAGCCCAATGAAATCACATTTGTTTCAGTTCTCCGTGGGTGCAGCATTGTGGGTTTGGTTGATAGAGGGCTTGAGTATTTTGATTTGATGAAGAGTAAATATGGAATTGAGCCTTGGCCTGAGCATTATGGCTGCATGGTGGACTTGTATGGCAGAGCTGGGAGACTGGAAGAGGCTCTGCAGTTCATTAAATCCATGCCTTCTAAACCTCATTCTGGAGCTTGGGGAGCACTGCTTAATGCATGCAAAATCTATAGAAACATTGAGTTGGGAGAACTTGCACTGAGCAAAATCTTGGAGATTGAAACAATGAATGATGGAGCTTATGTACTTTTATCGAACATATATGCCGACTTCGGGAATTGGAAGGGAGTCTGCAGCGTGAGGGAGTTGATGAAGGCTAAGGGAGTGAGGAAAGAACCTGGTTGCAGTGTGATTGAGGTTTCTGGCTTAGTTCATGAGTTCTTTGTTGGGGATAAATCTCATCCAATGTATCAGGAAATTGAGGTCATGCTGGGAGAGATTAATTGGAAGCTGAAACTTGCTGGATATGCAGCTAAGACTAATGAAGTGCTATTTGATATTGAGGAAGAGGAGAAAGAGAATGCTCTTATTTGGCATAGTGAGAAACTGGCAATTGCTTATGGGCTTATTGCCCTCAAGGAAGGGGTTACCGTTAGGATCGTGAAAAACCTTAGGGTCTGTTGGGATTGCCATGATTGGACCAAGTTTATATCGAAAGTGTTTGGAAGAGAGATTATTGTGAGGGATAGGAATAGATTTCACCACTTCAAAGATGGAGTGTGTTCTTGCAAGGATTATTGGTGATTGAGCTGAAATTGATCTACTTTGGAATTCCTTCGTTCTTCTCTCGAGGTAATAACCACACATTGAAAATTTCAGAAGGTCTTACTAGAATGAAATTGATTAAATGCTTAAATTTTTTTGTTGCTTAAAAAATATTTAACTCATTTCGGATGGTTGGATGAATGATTTCATGTTGTTCATATAATGGTGTTTGTTGGATTCAAATTTATTCATGAAAAACACCCAGGCCTTGCTAGTAGGTCAAAACGGAGAGTGGGCGAGTGACATGAAAACTGTGAGGGAATAAAGAAAGAGAGAAAATAGGGAGAGAGTAGAGAGGAAAATATGTATAATACTCAATAAAATATGAATCTCAAAACTGTAGAGTATCCACTATATGATCAATCTAAAAAGTTTCCAAACAAATATGAATCTCAAAACTGTAGAGTATCCACTATATGATCAATCTAAAAAGTTTCCAAACTATTTTTCATCACTCTTTATTTATAAAGTTCTGAGGGTTACATAAAATGTTACACGATAAAAAAAGTAAAAAATACAATGCTACATATAATAACCTACAATGCTAAACACTATCTTAAACATGTATCATATACTAATTGGTCGAAGGAGGGTGAGGTTGGAAGGCTTCAACGAGTTGCTTCTTGGCAAGTTCAGTATTGTCCAGTGGGCAAGGGTGAATCTGTAAGCGAGCACTAATATGAGGGGGTGCCCGTGGTTGGCAAGTTGCTTGATGTGGCCGACAACTGATATTAAAGCTCTGAGATCGCCTAAGAAGAGAAAGACGAGTGAGATGCTATCGTGGGAAAGGAGAGCTCTTGCTCGGATCATCACAATAAGTTGAGTTGAGAGTCCTGTGAGTAAGCACTTTTCATATAGCTGAGCTTGGTGAGAATGATCACCCTAAGACAGACCAAGTTACTGGGATGTGGTTCAAGCATATGACAAGTGCCAAGCTGCTGACTCTAGGAGGGGTCCTCGATTTGCCCTGTGTAGGGCGAGCTCCTAGAAGGGTGAGTTCCATTTGAGTTCTTTTGTCATGACCTGCCTGCTGACTCTAAAGAGGGATCCTTGACATCAAACTATAGACACCCAAACTCTACTATATTGTCACAGATTAAAGTTGTATAATTGACTTCACCCTATATTATTATTTTTATAATCTATACAACATAAATCTCACAAATATTCTTACTTTGTACCCTCATTTTCTTCAATTGAGAGAAAGAATTGATACATCCTCAAAAAATTATCTTGATCGGGCACGAATCTCGAGGAAAAATCAATTCGGAAACTTTCAAATTTGGGATCATATGAACTTCGATTTCAGCAAACTTATAGTCAAATTGAACATCTCAAGAATACGAACCCAACGACACCAAATTCGACTCAATTCGAGCCTAAATGGGTCCAAATCAAAGATCTGAAGCACTGTTGGAAGGTTCAAACAACAATTTTGTTTACCAAACTGTTTCCAAGCATGGCATGCTTATAGTCGAATCGAGCGGCTCGGTGAGATGAATCCAACGAGCCCAATATCATTGAATTATGATATCACTAAGACTTTCACATCCCCAGCAAACGGTCCACAATCAAGGGATTCAAAATCGACTGTCCATCCAATCCACTCCCCATTTATCCTTAATCTTCTTCAAATTTATAGGTCATACCACTCTAGGAAATATATAAACAGTGGGGTCTATTTAAAACTGGGCCAGAAGAAAGAGAGGAAGAGTGAGATCAAAGATCGCTCTATCCCCTTGGCTCCTCCTCGACCAAGTGACGCCAGAGTTCCGCCGGACCACCACCTGACGCACGGAGTTCCATCGGACCACCACCTAAAACCCGGAGTTCCGCCGGACCACCACCTGACGCCTGAGTTCTGCCAGACCACCACCTGATGGCCAGAGTTCAACCGAACCACCACCTAACACCGGTGTTTCGTCGGACCATCACGTGACGCCGATGTTCCATCGGACCACCACCTGATGCCTGGAATTCCGCCATACCACCACCAGACGTCGAAGTTTCGCTAGAACACCACCTGACGCCGGAGTTCCCCCGGAGCACCACCTGACTTATGGAGTTTCGCCGCTAAACAACGGTCTTTCTGACCCTTGTCTCCTGCCGACTATGGACCTTCCGACATCTGTCGCCAACTACGGTCCTTCCGACCTCCACTGTTAGACCACAGTCTTTTTGACTCTTGTCTCCTATTGACAACGGACCTTCCGACCCCGTCATTTACTGCGGTCCTTCCGGCCTCCACTGCTAGACAACGGTCTTTCTAACCTCTGTCTCTTGGTGACTGCGGTCCTTCCAACCTTCGTCGCCTGCCGATTATGGTACTGCCGACTAAACGAACATATCAATACTGATTCTTCCAATTTCTACCATATAATGTATTCTATGTAATGTATATATGTTATATCAAGCCAAGACCTTCCCTCTGATGAAGGGCCTCATTTGTAATCGACTGCAAATAATAGTGGATTCATTCAAATTGGGCCAGAGCCCGTGGTTTTTCCCTCTTTTCAGGGGTTTCCACATAAAATCTATGGTGTCTCTTATGAATGTCACACCCTCTCTTTTATCTACTTATGTGTTGTATCTTCGTACAATACTAAGGCGTTAAATGTCATATTTCTCTACCGCCGCGAATATTCCAAGATGCAACATGAACAAACATTTGCAATTTTAATTATACATTGTACTATTTTAATCGAGTTAAGCCTCCAGTTTTTTTTCTCTTTTGTGATTTTCCACGTATAAAATTTTTATGTCTGTTATAACTTCTATCTATGTATATACAAGATATTTGTACAAAATCAAGATATTAAACACTCTCTCCACTATCATAATTTTTAATACATAAATATGTCACTTTTCATAATCATCAACATGCTCATTTCCCCTCCTTTAAGCTGTGAGGAGAGAGAGAAGCTTGAATTTATCATATATGAGAGCTATTTCTATGAGGAGGATTTAGTTGAAAAAAAAAAATTTAGAGTGGGCAATTGGTCCCCTAGGGGTCAAATCAATCTAGCCAGTTTGATAGATTTAAGGTTTAATTATTCACAAAATCATTTGATTGTTGTTATTATGATTTGAATTGTCAAGATAAGGTCAATATTTTGACTATAATTTATTTAAATTATAATTCACTCATCTACATCATTGAATTAATAATATCCATTTTTTTACTCTATCAAGTATTAATAGAAAATTGGATTAAATAAAAGGTTTAAATGTGTCATGTTGAGCTCGAGTCGGTCCTCGCTTGAGCTTAAACTTGATTAATTAATCGAGTTCGAGGTGGAGCTTAATTCTACAAGTTCGAGCGAGCTGATTAATAATGAAAAAAGGAAAATTATTATGGTTTAAACAATTATTATAATAAAATTATAAGAAGGAGAAATTAAAAGATAAATATTAAAAAAAATATTTGATATAAGAAAATGAGACATACTTTTTAACAAATTTGTAGCATTATACTTGAAATCTAAATTTTAATATATTTTAAGTGTATTTTATGGCTAGTGAGCAAAGGAGTCAATTCGAGGATAGTTTAAGCCTAGGTCATTAGCTCTTGTGCTCAGCTCACGAGCTATTTATCAAGCTCAGCTCGAGCCGGCTCCTAAGCCTGCTTGACTTACACCCCTACACAAAATACAACATAAATTTAAATTTATATAAACTATTTGACTATAATTTTTTTTACTTTTTTTATATATGCAATAAATTGTGCTTTTCATAATGAAATATGATAAATTTTGATATTAATAAAAAATATTATCTATTTAAAGAAAAATCTATAATATCCCAATAAATTTCAAAAACTCTAATATTCTCCTACTAATTTATAATAATTTTTTTCCTAAAACAAATCTTAAACTTATTAATTAAGTTAACAACTATGATTATGAGCATAATGTGATTGACTAATTGAATACGACTGAATGATTAAAATATGGATAATGGGATGCACATTCAAAGAGGGATGCACGTTGTTTCACATGCATGATCTCAAAGGCTGTAGAAGGTAGGGAGCATTCTCATAAAGTAATTAATTAATTCATCAGCGTGCTTCCCACTTCTTTGAAAACGTAATTAGTTTGTTAATTAGTTTAATCGCACAGAGATAGAAGATGGGGACAGACCATAAAGATTATGTGATTAATTATTAAATTAAGGGAGGGGTCAGTCATTATAGGCGTCATTAGGCAGTAATGACCCATTGGTTTTGACATTATTGAACTTCAATTATAAAAACAAGCTTTGTCGAAATAAATTTTGATGAATGCGATTATTATTATTTGGGTTTGATTGCAGTGAGTCGTTAAGTATTTAAGTGTCTTAATGTTATAGGAATTAAATGATATTGAACTCGTTGAATTCGTCTCATCTAGATGCTTGATTTGATTATAAGCATGTCAAATTTTAGAGATCATTTGGTTCCGGTTAATATTTCAAAGTTTTTCTTTATGTTTCAAGCTTTCGCGTTACTTTTTATGACCTACTGATGTAGTTTAAACATATAATTTATTTTTGCAGTGGTTTATGAACCGCTACACATCCGCTGTTTCACACATAGCGTAATCACATTCGAGGTGAAGCTTCATGGTCCACATTCTAATCAGAGCTGCCTTGGTCCTTGATGCCGAGGATGACGCCTTTCCCCCTACTCATAGCGAAACGAATGGAAGACTACATGTTGCTTTTGTGGGCCTGGGAGACGGACTCGGGATCAAGTCGAGCGGGAGCTAGGACACGATGGCAGTTGTTTGCAAACCGTTTCTATAAATCACTGTAAAAAATCTAAAGTTTCTCATAATTTTTTTATTAAAACCGCTGCCTATATCAATCTATAGCAACGGTTTAAAAACTCACACTAATAATTGCTACAAAAATCTTATATTTTTTTTTTAGTGTTAGCAGTTAGCACATAAATTTTTTAAAAGCAGTAAAAATTAATTAAATAAAGTTATAATTATTATTTAAAAATCAAAACAGTAAAAAAAATTATGTCAAATAAAATCTTATTAGTCTATTATGATTCAATTCTAAACTAAACTATCAATCATAAAAACTCTCTGAGTTTGATCATCATTAATATTGTGTAGAAAAGAAGGCCCATCTAAGAATATTCTTTTTGTCAACGTGGCCATTTATATTATAACGGTCAAATTGTACTATTTTCTATTTGATACGGCATCACAAAATTAGCTTGATCGGGCACGAATCTCGAGGCGAAAGCTAGTTGGAAACTTCAAAAATTAATTCCGAGAGCACCCCAACTCCGATTTCAGCAAGCTTATAGTCGAACTGAGCGTCTCGGAAATACGAACTCAACGACACCAAGATCAACCCAATCCGAGCCCAAATGGGTCCAAATAATGGATCCAAAGTGCTGTTGGAAGGTTCAAACCGTAATTTGAGTTACCAAACGGACTCCGATTTTGACGAGCTTATACTCGAATCGAAGGGATCGATGAGACGAATCCAACGAGCCCAAGATCACAGAATTCCGACATCACTAAGGCCTTCAAATGTCCAATGAACGGTACATGATCGTAGGATTCAATATCGGCCGTCCATTGGACCACTCCCTATTCGCCCCTCATCTTCTCTTGCCGACTACGGTCTCCGGCCGACTACGGTCTCCTGCCGACTACGGTCTCCGGCCGACTACGGTCTCCGGCCGACTACGGTCTCCGGCCGACTACGGTCTCCGGCCGACTACGGTCTCCGGCCGACTACGGTCTCCGGCCGACTACGGTCTCCGGCCGACTACGGTCTCCGGCCGACTACGGTCTCCTGCCGACTACGGTCTCCTGCCGACTACGGTCCTTCAGGCCAAACAAACCTGTATATGTAACTCTTACCATGTAATGCAATCTATATGATGTACATTTGCTACATCAATCCAAGGCCTTCTCCTAAGGAAGGGCCTCATTTGTAATCGACTACAAATACTAGTGGATTCATTCAAACCGGGCCAGGCCCCGTGGTTTTTCCCCCTTTTTCAGGGGTTTTCCACGTAAAAACTATGGTGTCACTTATGAATGCTACATCCTCTCACTTATCTGATTGTGTGCTGGATCTTCGTACAACGCTAAGACGTTAAACTATATATTTCTCTACCGCCGCGAATATTCCAGGACACAACACTATTAATGTATCTCTGATCAACTAAATTGCATGTCTTCACATGATAAATGAATTCTGTTGTTCATATGTAAATTGCTTGCCTATTTAGGTGGATAGATTAATATGTGTGGTCATTGGACCGTGACGAGACTAATTAGGACATGCCACATCATCGAATACACAGTAAATACACGTCGTATTGGTGATGTGACGCATCCTGATTGGCCTTTATACAACGTCTGGTAATTGCACGTAATAATTTCACGTGTATGTTACCTATGTAAACCCTTTGCAATCACAGCTTTATTATTAGCACTTCATTTTTTTAAAAACAAAGGAGTAATATTGAAATAAGATTTAATAAAAAAATTATTTCCGTTTCCATAATCTTATTGTTTGATCCCAAAAAAATATTTAATAATAAAGTCATTGTGAGAAAGTCGATATGGTGGACAATGCTAAAGTGGTAGGAGGAGGAGGATAATCAGGAGATAACATCAATTGGTAAATATTAGCGTAAGTGTTAGATCATGGTGATCAGAAGATAGTTATGAAATAACGAAAGGCAAATAGAGAATCAACCAGCAATGGTCAAGCAATGACAATCAATGTGGCGATGATATAGCAACAATGATTAGATGATGATGTTCGAGCAATGATAATTTGGCGACAACGGTCGGGCAACTACTAAAGAGGATGTCGATTAGGGGTGTCAATTCGGGTCAACGAGTCGGGTTTGGGTCGAACCCGGAACTGACCCAGCACTATTCGGGTCAACCCGAACCCGACCCATTTTTTAAAATGGGTCAGGTTTCCGGACCCGAATCCGACCCGACACGAATTTGCGCGTTTGGCTGAAGCCTGAAGCTGCGGCGGCAAGACAACGATTGGCCGATTGGCAACAGCATCGGCGGCGGTGCGGCAACAGCAGAGGCGGCGATGCGGCAGCAACAACGCGGCGGACCGGCGGGTGCGGCAGCACGGCGGCGGGGGCGGCAGCCCGGCGACAGCCTCGAAGGAGGCGAACTTGCAACTCGACGCGCACGATGGCACGAGGCACGCGACTGGCCGCGCGGGTCATTTCACGGGCAGACTTGCTCGATTGCGACTAGACGCGCACGCGGCACACGCGGTCACTTCGCGGGCAGGGGCGGGCACGCCGGGCAACAGAAATGGGCAGAGCATTTTCAGGTCAATTCCTGGTCATTATCGGGTTTTCGGGTCAACCCGAACCCGACCCGGAACTCAAATCATGTCAGATTTTCGAACCCAAACCCGACCCGTTTGATAACCGGGTTGACCCAAACCCGGATTTTTTCAGGTCGGATTCGGGCCGTGTCAAGAATTGACATCCCTAATGTCGATTACTAGAAATAATAGTTGGCATCGATGGTTGAACAAAATTATAGAATTCTTCAAAATTTTAAGCTCTCTTAATATTGGTCTTCTTTATGTAAAGAATGTGAATATGAGTATAATAATTGAAGTGATATTTTAAAATTTTTGGTCAAAATCTTCAAACACACCATCAGATGACTCATGCTATTTCTAAAATATGAACAAGCTTCGAATACATTTGATCTTGACACACATGTTTCGATCATGATCAAAACCTGTTTTTATTCATATTTGAAGCTGATTATGATGCAGAGCATCATAATAGCCCTGTTGTTTTGGAGAGCTAGCTTATTTCTTGGCGTTCTCCTCTACGTTTGCATTGCTATTATAATAACCTTACGTCTTACCACTACCATTTACATTTTTTTAGTTATTATGAAACTATTATCAGCTCTTTTAGACTGATGTACAACAATATATATTAGCTGCAGTTTTTTCACAAGAGAAGAAGAATAGGTAGGATTCTGGTTTAGACTTGGAAGCAGCACTTTGTGGTATTGGCTTGCTCGTTTTCTCTGTGCAGGTTCTCCGATGACTACCACGGCGGATAATTTAATGACTTATGTGATTATGTCCTTCTAAGTTTAGAGTTCAAAGTGCAAATAATATTTTCAAACTTAAATAATCAAATATGTAATTTCATTAGCATTCAATAGGTAACCACAAATAGAGACACTGAATTTTATGGCAAAATCACAACTTTTTTTATTTTTATTTTTATTTTTTTTTAAGGCAAAATCACTACTTGCAAACAAAACTGTCGAAGAAGAGAAAGGCAATGGGAATAAAAAAGGGTTGAGCAACTTATTGTCAAAAGTTCACTTATATAATGTCGAAAACTTTCTATATATATATATCTTTTGTTTGTTATTGAATGATGGTCTACCCTGATAAACGACGAAACTTTGAAAATATCATTAATTCAAACTAGATATCTATTGCTCATATACCTTGCGATGTGAAAATAATGTCGTCGCATCCGGTAAATGAGCTCAAGGGAGTGGGAACATGCGAAGCAGATAATACAGTAAAACCAAGAGACGATGCACGCAGGAGAACCCAGGGTGCAGAATCACCCCGTACGATCTCCCACTCCCACAAAAAAAAATAATTTTATTAAAGATTGTTGGCCTGCCATACGAGCGCACCCAACATGGCAAAGGCCGGGATTACAAACTATCAAACATCTGTAAACAATAGAACATCACCAACATTGACATATAGATCGACTACATATATGTTTCCCTATAACACAAATCAAATCAGATCTTATACCATTAAAACAGAAAGCATCATCCACCAAGCCATACATGATCATCAAGTCTCGTTAATAGAACAAGCCTCCTTAGCCGAGCCTTGCTGTACTTGGGGCGCAAATTAAGAACATCATTGCAAACTTCAATTGTCGTTTCCCATTGTCCAAGTTTCGACCGGCAAGCAGCTCGGTTGCAGAGATCATTACCCATTGAGCGAGCTGATGCCACTGACTGAGCCTTTCGAGCAATAGCAGCAATCTCCCTGCTGCCAGGATCAATCCGTGCAGCCATTTGAGCTAATGAAATCTTCCTGTTGCCGGCCATATCAACCTGTGCTCTTGTTGAAAGGTGATACGCATTGCTAAGTCGCCAAAGAACTGTAGAAAGAGGTAGAGGAAGAAACAGAAGAGGATGAGCTTACTGATGCAGAGAACCATCTCAATTTATTCAAACATCAACGGCTGTGATAATACGGTTTAAGTTGTACGACCAGGATGAATCCACACCCATGTTTGTCCTGGTAACAGCCCGCTAATTAACAAAAAAGCGGCTTAATGTTCTCCAGTTCACCACGTGGAGAGCAAATTGGGCGGATCACACGATGGTTTAAGTTTCTAACTACTGGGATGTTTCTCATTTTTTGAAATTCATATTAGAATATAATTATTATTTGAAAATCATTTTATATAAATTCTAAAATGCAACTTAACTAAATTATTATATTTAAGTAATAATTAAATTAAAATTTATTTTACAGATTATTATTACATTATTAATATGTTATTATTATTTAAACATTATAAGTTATGTATATCAGTACAGGTTTTTTACTCGCAGAAAACAAAATTTATTTTAAACTCTTTTAAAGTTGAATATTCAAAATCTAATTCATAAATTTCATAATAATTAATATTAATAAAATGAAAAACATATTAATATACTGTAATAAATATTATAACATAAAAAATTTATTATTATAACAATTTGATAAAATAATACACATATACTATATACAATTTATTTAATTATTATTATTATATTAAAAAATAATTAATGTTAAATTATCTTATAAAAATTTTGAAATTGAAATTAGAATATAATTATTATTTACATATCAACATACCTAAATTCTAAAATCTAACTTAACTTAATTATTAGAGTAAAGTAATAATTAAATTAAATTTTATTTTCAAGATTCTTATGACATTATAAAAATGCTATTATAATTTAAATATTATAAGTTCTCTATATCTATACAAATTTTTCTACTTATAGAAAAAATTTATTTTCGAACACTTTTAAAGTTGAATATTCAAAAACTAATGTACAGAATTTCATAATAATTAATATTAATATATTGAAATAAATATAATAATTGTTGCGTCCCAGAATATTCGCGGCGGTAGAGAAGTATAAAGTTTTGACGTCTTAGTGTTGTTCGAAGATCCAACACACAAACATATGAAATAGAAAGGGTGTAGCGTTCATAAGAGACACTAGAGTTTTTACGTGAAAACCCCTAAAAAGGGGGAAAAATCACGGGGCTTAACCCAGTTTGAATCAATCCACGATTATTTGCAGTCGATTACAAATGAGGCCCTTCCTTAGGGGAAAGACTTTGGGTTGATATAGATAATGTGCATCATATTACATGGTGGGAATTGGAAGAATTAGTATTGAAATGTTAGTTTAGTCGACATAACCATAGTGGACGGGCGACATAGGCCGGAAAGATAGTAGTCTGGCGACGGAGGTCAGAAAGACAGTTATTTGACCATGAAGGTAGGAAGGACCGTAGTTGTCGAAGGAGGTTGGAGGGATTGTAGTCGGCGGGTGACGGAGGTTGGAAGGACTGTAATATGCGAGCGAAGAAGGTCGTAAAGACCATAGTCGGCGGAGGAGGTTGGAAGGACTGTAGTTGGCAGAGGAGGTCGGAAGGATTGTAGTCAGTGGGCGATGAAGGATGGAAGGACCATAGTCAGTGAGGGAGGTTGGAGGGACTGTAGACGACGGGTGACGGACGTTGGAAGGATCATAATTTGTGGGCGATTAAAGTCGAAAAGACCGTAGTCTGGTGACGAAGGTCGGAGGGACCATAATCGACGGAGGAGGTCGGAAGGACTGTAGTCGACAGAGGAGGTTGGAAGGATTGTAGTTGGCGGACGTCGGAGGTTGGAAGGACCATAGTGGGTGAACGATGGAGGTTGGAAACACTATAGTAGTTATTTGGCGAGGGAGGTCAGAAGTACCGTAGTCAATGGGCGACAGTGGCCAGAAAGATCGATGCCTGGCGACGGAGTTACCGTTCTCTGGTGACGGAGGTCAGAAAGACCATAGTGACCAGAAAGACCGTTGTCTGGCGACTGATGTTGGAAGGACCGAGTCGATGGGCAACACAAGTTCGAAAGACTATTGTCTGTTGAAGGAGATTGGAAGGATCCTAGTCTGCTAGCGACGAAGGTCGGAAGTCCATTGATGGACTGAAGTTTGACGTCATGTAGAAGTACGACGAAAGGCGACAATTGGCAAAAGTCCGGCGACGGGCAGAAGTCTGGCGTCGGTTAGAAATCTGACGATGATCGGCGGCCTGGTGGAAGTCCAGCGATGGTCGACCACTGGGCGGTGGTCCGACAACATTTGGGCTGAAGTCCGACGGAGGTTTGTAGTTGAGTGGTGGTCAGACGACGGTCAGGCTAAAGTCCGAAGGTGATTGACGACCAGGTGGAAGTCCGACGACGGTCGCCATCTAGTGGAAGTTTCTGAATTGCAATGGCCAAAAAAAAAAAACGGCCAAAAAAAAAAAAAAAACAAACTTGGAAGCAGCACTTTGTGGTATTGGCTCGCTCGTTTTATCTGTGCAGGTTCTCCGGTGACTACCACGTCGGATAATTTAATGACTTATGTGATTATGTCCTTCTAAGTTTAGAGTTCAAAGTGCAAATAATATTTTCAAACTTAAATAATCAAATATGTAATTTCATTAGCATTCAATAGGTAACCACAAATAGAGACACTGAATTTTATGGCAAAATCACTACTTGCAAGCAAAACTGTCGAAGAAGAGAAAGGCAATGGGAATACAAAAGGGTTGAGCAACTTATTGTCAAAAGTTCACTTATATAATGTCGAAAGCTTTCAAAATATATTTTTTCAATATATATATATTTTAGATTATTATGGATATATAAAGTTTATTTTTCTATTAAAATGACACTCCCCACTAAATATATAAAGTTTATTTTTCTATTAAAATGACACTGCCAAATAAATCCTTTAATTTGCCACGTAGACGCCTTTGCCCGTTACTTATCCAGGACCGATATCCCGCTCGGTCCAGATAAGAAGGGAAGTCATAAATCGTACCGTGTCTTGCAAAATCCACTGAAGTGTTTGCAATCTCTCTAATGGCGACCACTGCCCCATCTATCAGATGCACAGTGCCCATTACTACGGCACTATCCTCATCGAAACCCTTCTCTGGTACCCTTCACGGGGGCTTTAGACTGCGGCCTCCGACCTTAGGAATCCTCTCCTTTTTTGAAAAAACCCGGCGGAATTCACCGGGTTCTGGCATTTGCTTACCAAAGGTCGTCGGAGAAACCTTGGTTCACGCGGGCACTCTTGCCCTGCTCACTGCTTCACTTTCCTTGGTCGATCCAGCCCTTGCCTTTAAGGTGCGCTTCAAAGCTCTCGGTTGCGTTTCTTTAAATGTTTTATAAATATGCCATTGCCGGTTTCATTGAGGAATTTGGAATTTGCGTTGGGGAAGGGGGGTGGACCGTATGGAGCGGGGGTGACGAGGGGACAAGACCTCACTGGAAAGGATTTCAGCGGCCGGAGTCTCGTAAAGCAGGATTTTAAAACTGTAGGCTACAGAAATTCAATTCTTTGTCCAACTTCTTGGGATTTTTATTTGGATTTAGTTCTAAGGTACTTTTTTGTGCACTTCTTTGTTCTTGGAAGTCGATCTTACGGCAGGCCAATTTCAGGGGAGCTAAATTACTGGGTGCCAGCTTCTTTGATGCTGATTTAACTGGTTAGATTCTCGTCTTCTTGCAATAAAATGAAAATTACTGGTGAAATACGTTTGAGTGCGTCAATTCAATTTTTGATAGTGGTAAAAGAAGTAGAAAATAATGTTTTCTCATAGTGACATTTAGTGGTAAAGCTATTTTATCACTTAAAAACAACTTATGCGGCTAGGACCAATTCCTCCTCAGACGATGTTTGAGTGAAGGGATGAAGTTATGACATGTTTAGTAATTGTTTTGAATGGCATAGGTATGTTATTTGTTTCTATGACACAATGTGCTAAAACTTAGGGCCTTTTTGTGATCACTTTTGTTTTTTGTTCTTGTTTTTATTTTTAAAAAATATTTTTTATTTTAGGATACAATGGAGGAAAAGGATTCATGTAGTCGACCCCACGTAGTGGGATAAAGGTTTGTTGTTGTTGTATTTTAGAAATGTACATACATAGCATTCAAAACTAAAGGATTTACATATTTAACACACAAAAATCACTATGTAAATACATATCACTCATAACGTTAAATAACATAAAAATTAACACCTTGTACACCATCTCCATTACAATCCAACCACGAACAACGAGTTGTTGATTTGGAATTCTTTCCAAATCTAAATCAGCCTTGATTTGTAAGGCTTTGATGGCTGATTTATGTAATTGATTAGGGAGTGATTATTTTCCTAATTAAGTTTATTTGATTTTAGATTTAATTGGAGATTTGATTGATACATTAATTAAAACCCTGGGAGCTGCTATTGAATGCAAGAGATGAAGAGAACTTATTATCATGTTCAAAATAATAAATTATAACCACGAGAAAAAATGTGATCTTTAGTGGCTTCAGGCGTGGAGTCAAGGGCTTCAACCTCTATGATCAAGTAGAGAAGAAGATTGTCATTAGCAGAGATATTACGTTCGATTGAAGCCTTGGGACTCTAAGCAGGTAGAAAGTTCTATTGGGACCACAAATGCACTGCATAAAATGGAGTTTGATGCAACTCCATTTGATCCACAGAGGTAAATCATTTTTACTTAGGTACCTGATTTAGCTGCAGATTAGGAGGTTGAAGATGGTGTTGAGGATGAAATTTTTGCTCAGGAATTTATTGCGAAGAACAGGACCAGACACCCAAATATCTCAAAACTAGTTTGGTTGAGAGATCACATTGCATTTGCACTTTCAGTCACGAAGGTTGAAGTTCTTAGTCACTATAAGGAAGCAGTGAACAGTCATGATGGTGATCTATGGAAGAGGACTATGAATGAAGAGATAGAGTTTCTTTAGAAGGATGCTACTTGGAGGTTGGTGAAGCTTCCTCCAGGAAAAAAATCCATTGGGTGCAAATAGATACGTGCAAAGAAGGAATGATCTTATGGAGCTGATGCACAATACAAGGCTAGGTTGGTGGCAAAATGCTCTGCGCAATGGGAAGGGATTGCTTATGATGAGGTGTTCTCACCAATGGTTAACAATCCCCGTAGTGGTGCATGCCTCATGAATGATTGTCCATTTGTTTGAAGAACTACGCCCGGCTTGATCCCTTAGGAGGGGGGTACGTAGGCAACCATCTGGATGCAATCGTTCTTATATTAGAGCTTGATTTGTCATCTTCCACTTTCTGAAGTGAAAGATAAGGTGGAGATTTTTTATTTGAAATTCTTTCTAAATCCAAGTTTTCCTTGATTTAGAAGGCTTTGATGACTCAATTATGTAATTGATTAGGGAGTAATTATTTTTCTAATTAAGTTGATTTGATTTGATATTTAACTTGAGATTTGATTGATGCATTAATTAGGAATTTGATTGGGATTAGATTAGCAAGCTTTTTTTTAATTTACTTTGGCTCAAATCTATAAATAGAGCCTTGGGAGTTGTTGAATGCAAGAGAGGAAGAGAGAGCTCGTTGTAATTCTCTATTGTTCTCCAATATAGTGAACTCATCATCCCCTCATGGACGTAGGCATTTTCGTTGAACCACATAAATCTTCGTGTTCTTTGTGTTGTTTGTTGTGTAATTTTTTTCCACTGTGATTGTTTGCACAACACAAGGGTGGCAAGCAAAATTGATATCGACGGTGGGATCTCAGCACGGGACAGAGGGGTGGGGGAATCGAAGATAAGGCTGAGCATGCAATCTCGCACCCTTCCTCTCTCTTCTTTATCGATGGAAGCTCCATCTGGGAAGAAGGGGAGCGGCTGTGAAAGCCCCTTTAGAGAAAGATCCAATCAAAACTTTCTCATGTATGATGAGATTCATCACTTCTTCATCATCGTCGAGGGCTTTGTTTACTTCTATGATATGGTGCTATATTATGTAAATACTAAATAGTGAAGTTTATGTGTTAAATATGTAAGTACTACAGTTTTTTAGTGCTATATATGTATATTCACTTTTTATTTTTATTTTTTAAAAATAAATAAAGTTGCTTTAAAAATATTTAAAACAACTTTAAGTTGTTTTGAGTATTTTTAGAAATAACTATCACAACTGGTTGTCACTGCCATCATTGTCATTGACCACAACCACTTTCATCGCTTCGCCGGTTGTCGCCACTATCCTACTAGTGGCTATCGCCACAACCACATAAATCAACTTATTTAATATTCAATAAAAATAAAAAAATACATATATTTTTAAAATATCAAATGTCACAACTTGAGTCCGGAAGGTGGTACACACTAATAACACGAGATATGATGAAAGAATAAGAAGATATATTTTGTACTCACAAGAAGCATCATGCATGTACAAGTAATATACACCAAACATATATCAGAGTAACGAGGTATATCAAATACCAGAAACAACATAATTTACACTTCAAATGGGGTATATCAAACACCAGAAATGATGCCAATTTTAAATGCTATAAATGTTGTGAATTAATGAACTTTAAGATCCCCATATTTGAATCCAATACCTTATATCTTAGTAAAGCATCTTGTGTTTGTGTAAAATGCCTTATATCTAATAAATCATCATGTTTATCAAATGGAGTAAAATATTTCATATTTGAGCAATAAACCTTATTTCTAATAACAGGTTTTATCTATGTCAAAACTTTGTATCTATTAAACTGTTATATCTGGATGAATTAGCTCATCTATATTTTGAATGTCTTATATTTGAATAAAACATCTTATATTTATGTTAATAGTTTATCTATCAATAATGTTTGGGAGAGATCATTTCATTTTTTTACTGTATGAGTAATGATAAATTTTTGTGGCTTTATTTTATATGTTGATCTATTTGGGGAAGTGCAGCATTACTCTAAAAATTGAAAAGGGAGATGGATATCCCTTTTGTTTGTCCAAAAAACAGGAAAGAACAATTTTGGTAATTTCTGCTTTTTTCTTGAACAATTTGTTTATTCATGATTCGACATTTTTGCCTTAAGTAAGAAGAATGCAACCTATCATTTGATAAAGTCCTAACCTCATTTTTGAAATCATATTTTCAGGTGCTGATCTTTCTGACGCTGATCTTAGAGGTGCAGATTTATCCTTGGCAAATTTTACTAAGGTAATTGTTGCAAGCTGCAAATAATTTGATGCCTGAAGATTTTTTCAGGGTATATTGTTCACAGTGATTGCTCATTTCTACCACACACACAACTAAAGAAAATGTCAGTTTGGGCAAAGAAGTGTTTTCCTAGGAAGACACTTTGGTGCTCAAGTCCGTAAACTTGTTCAAAGAAACGAATGGCTTGGTAGAAACGAATGGCTTGGTAGAGCCTTCTATTGGTTTTTAAAGTGATATAATGGTGTAGATTTCGAAGGACCATTGCCTTGTTCAATTATTGTTACATAAAGATTGCACACATATAAATCTTAATATTCTTGATCAGATGGCGGTGACTTATCTAAAACTAGTAAATTTTTACAAGCATACCACTTGTCTTTTCATATTTGATTCCTTGTAAAGAATCTAAAAATATTTTTTCTAAACAAATCATCATATAGATCTCAACTATAAAGCACAAATACAAAAAATGGGGACAAGGAGCTAAAATCTCATGTTACATATATGACAACATGGTGTAGTTGTAAAAAGTAGAACATGACACATCATAGATGCAATATTATACTTTATAAATTTTTTATATAAAATATATAATTTCGAGTATTTCCTTCTAGAGGTTTTATCATGTGAGGTATAATATCATGTATATCATCTTTACGAAAGAAACTTGATAATGACAAAATAAAAGCTAATGCTACTAATAATAAAAAGAATATTTCAACCATAAAAAATTAGTAAATAACTCATGTGATTCACATGAAGAAGTTGTTGCACTAAGAAATGAGAGGTTGACAATTTTATAAGATTTGGGGTTTTTTTATTGGTTTTGGGGATTGGTGTCTATTCAAAGACCAAAGTACTTGCTGTTTACTTATTTATGGAATAAGAAAAAATAAGTGTTTCAAATTTTTTGGGAAGGATTTGCTTGTTCTTGGAGTTGATGAGGAGGAAGGATGTTATAGCGGAGACTTAGACTTCGTAATAATTGGTTGACCTGATCTCAATTTGTCTCAGCGGACCCGAGAAGGGTTATGAGGCTACCACGAGGCTTTTTGTTTGTTCTTAAGTCAGAATGAGGTGCAGCTAGACACTTAGTTTAGAAGTTTCAAGCGCATGAAGGCTCTCAACTTATAGAAATTTAAATGTAGACCACCCTTTCTACCGTCGCCAGGTATTGAGAATGCGAGAAGCCATTTTTGGGTGGTTGATTGTTATACAATTCTAGGTTTTGCTAATCTTTTAGCTTCTTTAAAATTCTTGAGCTTTCCTATCTCTAAGTTTTTTAATGTTAGTTGGTATGGAGTAGGAGGCTAAGGATTCATTTTGCTAGAGAGAAAATAATCAAGATTAGAGAGTGTACAATTGAGGGATAAAAGTTTAAAACTATTTAACAATCAGATAATAACATTATTGTAAGAAGCTTGTCGTTTAAAAAACTCGGCGTGTCAGAGCTGTCTCGATGAGCGACATTAAAATAATGGAGTTTGTAATGGGAATCAACTGGAAAGTGAAAAACCCTTGCTCACAAAAGATAATATATACCATTAAATTTGATGGAACTATCAATAGTGTAGGATTTTGACTCATTGAAATAGAGTTAGAATGCAAATGTATGTTTCTAAAGAAAATGATATTATAGTTTGTTTTTTGGTACTGACTCATTTTTTTCCTAGACTTTTTCCAATATCTTACAAATGTTTATTTAAAATTGAATTAATTAATGATTTGATCAGGTTGCTAATTTCAATGAACCTGAAGAATGTTCATGATCATGTTTAGCGTTATATATAGGTTAAAATATTAGAATTTTAGTAATATGTGCACAACTTCGTGCAGGCAAATCTAAGTAATGCAAACCTTGAAGGTGCACTTGCTACTGGAAATACGTCTTTTAAAGGATCAAACATTAAAGGAGCAGGTATGCTATTGATTTATATGTTGTCATGTTTATCATTCCTTGATTTCTTCCGTGATATTAAATTATTGTTACTAATGAGCTAAAAAATGTTGTATTAAAGGCCAGTTATTTTGGATTATAGATTTTTATCATGAATCATCATAATGTTAGCATTTATTGTTTTGAATTTTTGGTCATGTACTTGAATAAAACAAACGTAACTATTCATTTTATTGTGATGGGACAAACATTAAGAACTCTATATTTTATTAAATTGAAATATGGAGAGATGACAGATGGAATTGAAAATATCACCTATTGAGAGCCACAGGAGGAATGTGATGCCATATGGCTCAGGATTAAAGTTCTGTAATGCAACTAGTATGGTACGTAATATGAATTCATACAAAGGGATTTGATAATTTGTTATTCAAAATCAACCAATTAATTTAACAACTTTATTTAAATATTAACCATCAATATAAGAATTATAACTTAAATGATAGTGAAATGATCAATTTAATTTGAATAAATCAAAAAGATTTTTTAACAAGCAGATGTAATTTAATTCTTTAAAAAAATGCCATATTTGAATAAAATCAAGAGTGTATATATATATATATATATATATATATATTTGAAATAAGAACATGAAATGAAGTTATCAAAATAAGAAAAATTAGGCTTCATGTCAATGCAAATAAATGACTTCCTCCGGAATCAGGCGGTTGTCCTCGTACCACATTTGAAAGAATCACACAATCACTATGAACACACAAAATTGAAAATTAGAAATAAAAATTTTATTTAGCCTAAGTTTTAATTATATCTTTAGAACATTTATTTATAAAATCCTCATCCCCTATCCTAGACATAGAATCATCTTAAGACAATTTTAAATTAAAATCCCAAAATATAAGAATAAACTTGTTGAGTCCTGGAATATTCGCGGCGGTAGAGAAATATGAAGTTTAACATCTTAGCATTGTACGAAGATCCAACACATATGTAAATAAGAGAGAGGGTTTAGCGTTCATAAGAGATACCAGAGTTTTTACGTTGAAACCCCTAAAAAGGGGGAAAAACCACGGGGCTTGGCCTAGTTTTAATGAATCCACTAGTATTTGCAGTCGATTACAAATGAGGCCCTTCCTTAGGAGAAGACCTTGGCTTGATGTCACAAATGCACATCATATATAGCACATTACATGGTGGGAGTTACATATAAATGTTTGTTTGGTCGGCAGGACCATAGTTGATGGGATAGAGGTCGGAAATATCGTAGTTGGCAGGAGACTGAGGTCAGAAAGACCGTTGTCTGGTGATGGAGGTCGGGAGGACCATAGTAGGCGACGGAGGTCGGAAGGACCATAGTCGGCAGGAGACCGGTGTTAGAAACACCGTTGTCTGGTGATGGAGGTCAGAATGACTATAGTAGGCGGCGGAGGTCGGAATGACCGTAGTCGGCAGGAGACCGGGGTATGAAAGACCGTTGTATGGTGATGAAGGTCAAAATGACTATAGTAGGCGACGAAGGTCGGAAGGACCGTAGTCGGCAGGATATCGGGGTCTGAAAGACCGTTGTTTGGTGATGGAAGTCGAAACGACCATAGTAGGCGACGAAGGTCAAGGATCGTAGTCGTCAGGAGACCGGGGTCTGAAAGACTGTTGTCTGGTGATGGAGGTCGAAACGACCATAGTAGGCGACAGAGGTCGGAAGGACCGTTGTTGGCAGGAGACTGGGATCTAAAAGACCGTTGTTTAGTGATGTAGGTCTGGAGGATCATAGTAGGCGACGAAGGTCGGAATGACCGTAGTCGGCAGGAGATCGGGGTCTAATAAATTGTTGTCTGTTGATGGAGGTCGGAAGGACCATAGTAGGAGACGGAGGTCGGAAAGACCATAATCGGTACGAGATAGAGGTCCGAAAGACCGTAGTAGAAGGGCGATACTTTGGGAGAACTCTTGGCGTCAAGTGGTGGCCCAGCAAAAGTTCGAGTCTCAAGTTGTGGTATGGTAGAATTCTGGGCCTCAGGTGGCGATCTAGCAGAAGTCCGGGACTAGGGTGGTGGTCCAGCATAACTCTGGGCGTCAGGTGGTCTCCTGGTGGAGCTCGGGGTCTCAAGTGGTGGTCCGGCAGAAGTCCGGGCCTCAGGTGGTGACCTGGTGGAGCACAGGGCCTCAAGTGGTGGTCTGACAGAAGAACGACGTCAGGCGGTGGTCCAGCGGAGGTGAGGGTCTCAAGTGGTGGTCCGGCGGAGCTCAGGGCCTCAGGTGGTTGTCCGGCGAAGCAACGACGTCAGGCGGTGGTCCGGCGGAGGTGAGGGCCTAAAGTGGTGGTTCGGTGAAAGCGAGGGCCTCAGGTGGTGGTCCGGTGAACTCAGGCGGTGGTCGAGGAGGAGCTTCTTCCTTCTATTCTTCCTTCTTCTCTTCTTGCTTCCCTCCCCCTTTTCAAGAGGAATGAGGGGACTATTTATAGATTTCTGGAGTGGCATGACCCGTAAATAGGTGAAAGATCAAGGGTAAATGGGGAGTGGTTGGATGGACGGCTGATATTGAATCCCTTGATCATGTACCATTCGTCAGACATTTGAAGGTCTTAATGATGTCGGAATTCAGAGATCTTGGGCTCTTTGGATTCGTCTCGTCGAGCCGCTCGATTCGACTATAAGCACGTAATGTTTGGAAACCGTTTGGTAATCCAAATTGGGGTTCAAACATTCCAACAACGATTCGGGTCCTCGATTTGGACTCATTTGGGCTCGGATTGAGACGAATTTGGTGTCGTTGGGTTCGTATTTCCGAGACGTTTAGTTTGACTGTAAGTTTGTTGAAATCAGAGTTCGGATGGTCCCAATTTTAATTTTGGAAGTTTCCAACTTGATTTCGCATTGAGATTCGTGCCCGATCAAGATACTTTTTTGATGACGTATCAAAACTTTAATTCAAAACCTAAACTCCTCATCCCACAAACAACTAAATATCAAGTGGCTATAGAATCCAAAGCTCATAATCAATCATCACGTAATAGAAGAAAAATTGTAGGTTGCACGACAAAATGCACGAATATTGCTGCAATTTGTTAGCTTTCACAAGAAAATTCTTTACTCAATAAAACCAATAGGAAAATTTTGGAACATGCATGTGAAATACGCTATCAATAGTTGACATCATCTCAATACCCCCTATAACAAGATGTAGAGAAGTGACTGATAGAAGATGTATTACAAACATACCAAAAAGAGGTGGAAAAAGAAAATAATATAAGAAATTGATAGTGTGCTAATGAAATAATGTTAAATTAGACATTCAAAATTCAATTAGTACTAGAATTTCTTGTAGTTTTCAATATAGGCATTAGTTTTGATTTCAATATTGGCATTATTTTTGTTATATTGCAAAATTTTAAATGGCTATTCATTGTATTTAATTTCTTAAAGGTTTTTTATGGGGGGCCCTTTTGTATTTAAGTGCATCAAAACTTTATCATTAGATTTGAATTCCACACTTCTCATATTCACTTCTGTAAAAAATTTGTAATTATCATTGCTAGTTGTTAATTTTCTACAAATATCATGTAAATAATGTAAATTTTGCAAATGATATTAGATATATAATAAAACGCGAGGGCAATAATATGCATTGTATGGGATACTAATAAACTCCTATAATTAAATATTATAAATAAAAAGCTAATGCAATTTTAAGAAAGTAAAATGCCCTATTGTGATATGCCTATATTGACTATATTCTCCTTTAAAAAAATCACCCAAATGGCTTAAAAACTAGTTTTGATGAATTATGTACCTTTATAATTGACCAGAGTTATAGAGTTCTCTATTTTAGGTTTATTTTATGACAATTTACTTTTTTCAAATTTCTTAAATATTGACGTCATTTAGCTCTCGTCATAAGATTCATTATATGAATTTGTATATCACTAAACTTGGAATTAAAGACAAAGTCAGCATCAATTTGATCATTTGCTATAATCATCAAAATTTGCATTTTTTAGTTTGCGTATTTGAAACTACTTCAAATATGATTAGGTTATATTCACATTCATACCTAAGTTTAATCTATAATAAAAATGTAGGTTCAAATATAATTTTATGCTCAATTTTTCTCTCAAATTTTAATTTTGACTTTTGATCAATAATATGTTCATCTTCATGAGCATGATCTATTGTAAATGTTGATTCATATTCAAAATCATCCAATAAAAATCATTTTGTAAAAACAAAATATCTTTTTACATCTAGAACATCAACAACAATAACAACAACAACAACAATAACAAGCATTTATCCAATTATGTGGGGTCGGCTATATGAATCTTTTTTCTCTATTTTGTGATGTTAATAGTCAAATTCTCATCTAAATCTAATAAAGAAATGACATTTCTAATATTTTTTAACAAAGTCTTTTTAGGTCTACCTCTACCTTTCTTGATATAAGTCAAATCTAATACATTTACTATCCTAATCGGGTCATCAGAAGGTCTTCTTCTATGTGACCAAACCATGTAAGGTGACTCTCTCTAATCGTCTCTTCCACTAGAACTACTCCAACCTTTTAATGTATATGCTCATTTCGTTCCTGTCTCTAAGAGTAAAGTCACTCATTCACCTGAGCATCCTCATCTCTGCAACACTTTACTTAATATTATGCTTCTCTTTTAATGGCCAACATTCTGCACCATAAAGCATTGTAGGTCTTAGTACAATCTTATAGAATTTGCCCTTAAGTTTGAGAGGGACTTTTCTATCACACAACAAGCCTGATACACTCCTCCACTTCAACCATCTAACTTGAACTCTACTAATAGCATCCCCATCTATTTCACCATCACTTTGAACAATAGAGCCAAGATATCTAAAACGTGTACTCTTATTAATGACTTGATCATCCAAAGTTACAATCCCCCACTAGATCTATTATTACTAAAATTACACTCCATATATTTAGTTTTAGATCTACTCAAACGATAGTCTTTAGACTCTAAGGTTGACCTCCATAATTCATGTTTACCTTCAACTCTCTGTCCAATCTTATCAACAAAAGCATACACTAGGGTACAACCTCTTGCAAATGTCTAGTGATA